TCCCATTAAGTAACTTATTCTCTAATTCATCATCAGAAAGACTTATAGGTGGTCCTGTTACTAGTTTTGTTGTCGGCAATCTTACGGGAGGTATGTTATTAGGTAGTATGTTATTAGGTATGTTATTAGGTAAAATACCAGGTGCAACAAGTAGTATGTTGTTAGGTATAATACCAGGTGCAATAGGTAATATGTTATTAGGTGTAATTTTTATATTTTTAATAGGGTAATCGAGCGCTTGCAACTTCTCTAGTGAAGAGGTTAAATAAAATAATATATCCACACTCTCTTGTCTATTTTCCCGTTGGTGAATATGCCTAGCTAAAGCCGATGCGATATCCAAAAAATTTGCATCATCGTTATTATTGGTGTTAATAATATAAAGAATCAATGGGTCTTTTATATCCGACATACAGGCAGAGGCTTTAACCGATTTTATCTCATTCTTAGAAATAAGCTTATAATGCATATTTATTTGATCAACTTCTTTGACTTCTAATCTTTGTACCCATTTCTGATCACCGGAAGTCATACCAGAGTAGTACCAAGGTATGCGTTCTTTAATTTTGTGTTTTACGTAATCTGAATAATCCGTGGTCCTTTCTCTACCGCTATGCTGAGATGTCACCGTAACGTCACCTTTAAGGGTTTTACATCCTAATTTCTTATCAATAATAAAAGTAAATATAATTTCATAGACTTATTATATTTTATGAAGAACATATTATTGACCGAAGAGTACATACTTTATAAAATGCTTCAATTGAATTGTCAAATGGACAGGTAATTGGATTAAACATATTTCGATATTTTTCGCTATCATTTATAAAGATTTCTCTAGCATAGTATAAGTTATATATATCCTCCATTGTTTTAAGATTCTTTTTCATCCCTACTAAAATTTTCTTTTGTTTCATTTTATTAATTATTGCATTATTAATAGATCCAATATTGTATGCAATAGTTCCTAGAATAGTATAATATTGTTCCTTATCATTTAGCATTGACCAAAATTTCTCCGAATACTCAACAAGATATTCTGCTAAATCCAACGCTGATGGTTCTTTCTTGACTCCACAATTTACTAAAAATTTATTCGCATCTTCACCAAAGTCAACGCACGGAAACATGTCTGCATAACTAAAATTATAAATTAAAATAATATTAGGCCTAAAAATACAAATCACAATGAATTACATATTAAATATATATATATTTACATATTATTCAGGAGTTTGAAAAAACAATTTTTCGGTTTGTAATGAATGTATCTATATGGTGTAGCCTTATCTTGGACAGGTATAAAATTGATTGTTTGAAGTTTTCTCAAATCAGAAGGAGTAAAATCACCGGTACATGAAGATAAGTACCCAAAAATTCTTTTTGCATCATCATTATTTGGAGGATTTCGCTGTAATATATTCAGTAATAAACTTCTATAAGGGTTTTGTATAACACCCAATGCTTTAGCATGTATTTCAAGATCTTGACGCAAAACATTAAATCCCATCTTTGCACAATCAGGATTTGAATAACATTCAGATGGTTTCGCATAAATTCCAACGCCAATGCATGGCAAAAATTTTTCTTGGATTGAACTCGGAATATATGTTTTAGAGTATTTTTCCCTGAAATTATTTATAAAATAACTAAGCGCTTTCTCACGAAGATTTAAAGATCGGTTTGTTGCTGCAAGGTTAAGAATAGTTTGAAGTGACGGATATTCTTGCAGTCCAAGCCTAATGATAAATTTAGCTAATAGAATGAATTTTTATGATTAATCTTTATGAATTTTATATGTATTAAAAATTTTTTTTATTTTTCTTAGTTCACATACCTATATCAGAATTTTTATCCCAACGCTTTTCCCACTGGATTACCGGTAACTCAAGTTCTTTATTTGATTTGTGTGGTACATATAAATCTCTTGCTTTATATCTTTGAACATTGGTATTAGATTTATTGTCTCCAACACACTCCTTAATCCAAATTTCGGCAGTTTTTAATCTTTCAATATCAGCATTTTTAAGGTCCTCATTGGCGAAATATTTCAAAAGTTTTATGTGATCCAGGTTTTCTTTGTTAACCAGTCGAGCGAAAACATAATCCAATTCCACATACTATGCACAATGAGCGAGAATTAATCTATTTATGATTATTTTAATGTACAAATGAACAATTTTTATGTTATCTTTCTTACCTTATGTACTTTCATCTCTATGAAAAATTCATCATTACCTTTTATTTGAACAGTGGGTAATTCCATAAACAATTTCACTTCTGGCAGATACGTTTTATCTGGTCTTTTCACACCAAATTGAGTCGGAATACATTCAACTTGAGATAATAAGTTACATACTTCAAACCTATCCTTTTTAGTATTTTTGAAAGCTCGTGAAAGGACACTCATAAATTCCATGGCAAAGTCTGGTTCATCTTTTAATGTATGGTTTTCAATAATGTATTTTGTCCATGTAAGCAACGAAAGTTTGGTCCAGTTTCTAAATAAAAACAATGCAATAGTCTCTTTTGATTATTTAACAATAAAATTAACAAGATTAATAATATGGAAAGTAAGTTGCGATATAAATACCTGAATGATTGTTTAAATTTGTTGAGCCTACTATTAAAACATTTGCTAATAACATATGGCAACACGTCGGATGGAACATCTAAACCTTCATTAATCATGCCTGGATTCAGGAAATAACGAATATTTTTTAAATGCACGATTTTGTTCTCAACACGAACAATGGCCAGTTGCATGAGTTTATCACGATCCGTTGTAGAAAATTTTCGTACTATCCACCATTCCATCAATGATATAATTTCTTCATGGTCCAAGTTTCTTTTTGTCAATTCATCAAAAACATCATTTAGTGATGCTTCCTCAATAATTTTCAGGATAGTTTTTGCTCTATTAAAAAATTCTGCGCATTGATCCTCCATTATTTTTGGAACTGATGGGACATTTTTAACAAAGGATGCCATTTCTGAGCTGAGTAACCGTACCATTTTAATTTCTTTGACACCATGAGTAGACAGAATTGATAAGGATGACGAACAACATTTGTAAAAATTTGTCTCTATTATGTTTCCTACTTTAACATCTGGAGTACTTTGCTTGAACGTAAAATAGTTGAGAGCATGCGCCGCACGTTTTTCAAGCACCACTTTATCATTAGATTCATTTTGATACAGTTGAGATATTTGTTTCATCTCATCTTCGTATAGCAAACGACATAATATTCCAGCTGAAGATAACATTTCTGTATTGTATTCAGAAAGTGTTTTTTGGGCCAAATCAATCGATTCACGCTCGACCTGTGGATAAAATAATTTTAATAAACTTAAGTCTTTGTATAAATGAAAATAATAATTTACATACTGTCGGTATAACGCGAGCGGCCAAATGTATGGAATAACCAGTTGTTTGATGTGTTTTAAAGCCAATAAAGACTTTTCCTTGCTCTGGATATGGCAATAACTCCTTGGAAATATCGGCATGTACGTCAGTACAATTATTATTAGGTATGTAAGAAAAGTCTCCGTTTTTTACATTTTCAAAATGCTACGAAAAAATAAAAAAAAAAAAAAATTTTACCATGTCATAAACTGATTCATGACTTCCTAAGTCATTATACCCGGGAAGAATTATTTGGATGGTAGTTTCACGTGGTGGCTTTTTTTTCGTTAATCTTTCCATTTCGACAGAAAATTCATCTTGAATCTGAACTTTCAGATTTCCACTAGCAATTTTAATGGATACAGACGAATTTTTATTTCGGCAGTTGCTAAGCGACACTGTACCAGGAGGAATATCTATTTTAAACGTGTCAAATTTAACGCTATGTACATTCACTGATTCAAGTTTAAACATTCTTTCAGGTGATTCTTTATTTAGGTCAGATCTGATTTCAATTAGTCTAGGTTGACTAATTTCCTTCGAAATACGAAACACGCAATCTTCATTAAAGTATATAGAGATTTTGCGAAGGTGGGGAGTGAATCCCTACAATAAATAATGAACCTTAATAGTTATGATTTATCATACCGGTAATATTCTATTCACAATAAATCATACCAATGCAGTTGTCAAAAAATGACCGAATTTATCCAAGTCAGGAAACTAAATAAAGATGTAGAATTAGGCATAAATTGAATTTTAAATTAATAGGAAGAAATTTTGATACCTTTATGGGTTTTGTCATATCCAATAAGAATGTTGTCCAATTGGAGTCGTTACTAATAGAGCTAATAGAGCTATCGGAGCCATGTCTTACAAGCAACTGGTCACCTTTCCAAAAAAATGTCATGCCAAACTCGCCAGAAGATACGCTGTGACAGAAATGCAAAAATGAGCGTACGAACGATTAAAAACATGTATTGATATCAAATTAAATCATTTTTAATGGTTTGATAGTATCATGAAAATTAAAACTAGCAAGAATTGCATTTTTTAAAGAAAAAATTAGGGTTAACCTACAATGGCTCTTCACAGATTGAGAACACCGAATAAAACCCAACGCCAAAAGCACCAATCTTGTAAATAGAAACAGATTATATATGAATATTAATACGTAAAAATGCATTTATTTGTGAAAATACCTTTTGTTCGTCAGGATTTCCTTCGGCAATTTTCTTTAATCGGTCCCAATCTTGTTGTCGGAAAGGAAATCCGTTATTTTTATAAAATATTCTTGAACATGTTTTTCCGATTTTACCCATAAATACAATTTTGACTTCTGAAGCTGTTGCATCATCTATAAAACAAAATTTGGTTTTCATATTATGTTACATAATATAATAATATTTCGCGTTAAAAATCTAAACCTGAATTCTGCAATAATTCTCGGAATACTGTGAATTCAGATGAATACCTATTTAAAATTTTTTGAGAACGAAAAATAAATAAAATATAATAAAATATAATAAAAATAAATAAACTCTGGAGAAAGTTTAAAATATACCGAGCCAACATTTTATCAATTAAACATCTTTGGTTGACTTCAACTCGAAATTCATATTTCGAATTTGACATTAACTTGTCTCTGAAAGCGTCAAGAGTCATTTTTAGTATGAATGATAACAAAAATCTGCTAATGGATTTATATTAAATTTAATCATTACTACTCTTTAACTCGTTTCCTTATTAGGAATAAACATTTGATGTTACGTATCGT